CTGGGCTGTGAGTGGATCTAGATGGCTAGTAGTAGTGGAGGGTGTTCAGATGAAGATAGTATGGAAATAGGTTGGTCTCTGGTAGAAAGTAAGAAAGGGGGAGGAGGGAAGGATAAGGGTAAAAAAGGGCTAAATACAGGCAAAAGATCTTTTGAGGATGAAGAGGAAAACATTGAGACAAGAAAGAAAATAATGATTGAGGACTTTAAAGTGATTTTGAAATTCAGAACTGGACAGGACTTGATTGGGGTGAGCCCAATCACACTATCAAATGGATTAAAAAAAATTATTGGAGATGTGGAATTAGCTAAAGTTTTAAGAGATGGAAGCCTTCTGATTATCTGTAGGAATGCTGAACAAAAGAATAAAGCACTAAAAATACAAACAATCTGCAAAAGAGAAGTAATGGAGAGGAAAGTAATAGGAGAGGAAAGAGGAGCGAAAGGGGTGATTTCAGGGATTCCTTTAGGAGAAAACTTGGAAGAGTTAAAGAAAGTAATAAATGGAGGGGAGGTTTTAGGTATCAAATGACTGCAGGCCTTTAGAAATGGGAAGAGAATGGATAGCACTTCTGTGCTATTAGAATTCAAGGATAAAGTAAAACTGGATAAGGTAATGATTGGATACTTGAGCTTCAATGTAAAAAATTATATCCCACCACCTATTAGATGTTACAAATGTCAGAGATATGGCCATACAGCAAATGTATGCAATGGAAAGCAAAGATGTGGTAGGTGTGGAGGGGAACACGCTTATGAGGAGTGTGGAGAGAATCCAATAAAATGTTGTAACTGTGGAGGGGATCATACCGCAGCATATGCAGGTTTTATGGTGAGGAAAGAAGCGGCGGAAATTCAAAAACTGAAAACAGAGAAGAGAATGTCTTATGCGGAAGCAGTAAAGGAGGTGAAAAGTACAGGGATTAGTCAGAGAGCAAAAGTAGAAAAGAAGAATGAGGCAGATAAAAATCAAAACATTATCACGCTAGAAAAACTGATCCCGTTCCTGGCTTATATTATAAACTGTTCCGAACAGGCGAGAACTAAGACTGAAAAAATAAAAATTATAGTAAAAGCAGCAGCAAGATTCTTTAGTGTTAAAGATCTGTCATGGGAGAGAATTCAAGATGAGCTCAGACAAGGAGAGGGGTCAGGAGAAAGTGAGGCAAATCACATAGTTATATAATTCTAATATTGCAATGGAATGCTAGAAGTCTAATAGCTAATGGTCAGGAGTTTAAAGGTTTTATTAATAGATTGAATGAGAAACCAGATATATGTATCCAAGAAACTTGGTTGAAACCAACGTTACAGTTTAACATTAATGGATATTCAATTGTACGCAGAGATAGAGGAAATGGAAATGGAGGAGGATGTGCCATATTTATAACAGAAAAAATCAAATTTATCAAATTACATTTAAACACGGAACTGGAGATTAATGGGGTTAAAGTGTGGACAAAGCATGGAAGTATAAAAATTATAAATTATTATAACCCTTGTAAGAAAATAGAAAAATTAAAAATAGAAAACATTTCTCGGCATTGGGGAGAGAAATTAATTTGGTGTGGGTACTTTAATGCACATAGCACTTTATGGGGTGAGAAAGATGATTATAATGGCGGGATTTTAGAAGGAATTATTGAAGAAAAAGAATTGGTAGTGTTAAATAATGGGGAAGGAACTCGGTTGGACCTGATAAATGGTAAGGAATCTGCTATTGATATTACTCTGGTATCCCCTTGTGTGGCGGATAGTTGTAGTTGGAAAATATATAAAAATAGTACAATAGGAAGTGATCATTATCCAATATTTATTGAGGTTGAAATAGACATGGTAGAAGGACAGGTAAATAGTCAAGGGAGATGGAGGTTTGAGGACACTAATTGGGAAAAATATAAAGTTATCAACCTATCTTCACTCATAAGTATAGATATAAATAAACCAATAAATGATTTAAATCTAGAAGTCAGTAAGAGTATTTTTGATATGGCAAAAGAAGTAATACCAAAAAGTAAAGGGTTTAAGAAGAAGATAGTTCCTTGGTGGAATCCAGAATGTTCAATGGCGGTTAAATTAAGGAATAAGGCTTTTAAAACACTTAAGAAAGCTATTTGTTTCCAAAACTTAATAAACTATAAGAGAAAACAAGCAGAAGTTAGAAGGAAGATAAGAAATGCAAAGAAGAGTTATTGGAGTAAGTATTGTGAATCGTTAGGAAAAACTACTGCGTTAGACAGAGTGTGGGACACGATCAAGAAAATGTCAGGAAAATCAAAAGAACATGTTTTTTCGATACTTAAAAGTAATGACAATATGATTATTGATAATAAAGATAAGACTGAATTGTTAGTAAAAGTCTTAGCTAAAGTACATAGCAATGAAAATCTTAGTAATAAAGAGAAAGAAGGAAGGGAAATGACACTAAAAAGGTATAATGAAAGGATAGATGAGAATATAGAGGATAATGATACTATATGAAATTTTCAATGATAGAATTAAATAAAGCATTAAAGAACACAAAAAATTCAACATCTGGGGAAGATCAGATTAATTATATTATGCTAAAAAATCTGAGTGAAAAGAGTAAGGTGATATTATTAGAATTATATAATAAAATATGGGAAGAAGGAGTTCTGCTGGATAAGTGGAAAGAATCAATTATCATTCCTATTTGTAAACCAGGTAAAGATCCACAGCTAACTGAGAGTTATAGGCCAATAGCTTTAACATCTTGTATTGGAAAGTTAATGGAGAAGATGGTGAATAATAGATTAATTTATTTCTTAGAATCAAAAGGGAAATTAAAGTCATATCAATATGGGTTCAGGAAAGGAAGAAGTACAGCAGATCCCATGGTATATCTAGAACATGAGATTAGGAGAGCACAGGTGAACAAAGGTTTTAATGGCAGTGTTCCTGGATATTGAGAAAGTATATGATATGTTGTGGAAGGAAGGACTGCTGATTAAAATTAGGCAAATAGGGTTAAGAGGTAAGATATATAAATGGATTAAAAAATTTTTAACTGATAGAAGTATAAGAGTAAAAATAGATAATGAAGTAAGTTCAAAACATTTAACTGAAAATGGTACTCCTCAAGGAAGTATTATAAGTCCCATGTTATTTACAATAATGATTAATGATATTTTTAGTAAAATCGAAAACGAGTTTGGAGTGACTTTATATGCAGATGATGGCCTTATTTGGAAGAGGGGGAAAAATATAAAGTTTATAAATAATAAAGTGCAAGAAGCGTTACATAGTGTAGAAGCTTGGGCTTTAGAATGGGGATTTAGAATTTCAATTTCAAAATCCAAATTTGTAACTTTTACTACTAGGAGAATAAATACGGATGTAAGATTAAAACTATATGATAAGGATGTGGAACGGATAGATCAGATTAAATATTTAGGAGTATGGTTTGATAAAAAAACTTACATGGAAAATGCATGTTAGTAAAATTGTGGAGAAAAGTAAAAAGATTTTAAATATTATGAGATGTTTAAGAGGCAAAGATTGGGGCACAGGTAGGAAAGCTTTAAAAATAATATATATTGCACTTATTAGGTCAGTAATTGATTATGGGTGTGTTGTATATAATTCAGCATCAAATAGTTTATTAAAAGAAATAGATAAAATTCAATATCAGGCACTAAGAATTTGTTGCGGAGCTATGAAAACAACGCCAGTCTCAGGATTACAAGTAGAAATGGGTGAGATGCCACTGGAGCTTAGAAGGAAACAGTTAGCAGTTGTGTTTTGGGCAAATATAAAAGGACAAAAAAAAAGTTACCCTTTAAATAATATTTAACAACAATCCCAAGAAAAAGTTAAGAATAAAGATATAAAAAGTTTTGGCTGGATTATAAATAAAGAAATAGATGAAATGGGCTTAAATCAGTGTTTAATTAGTGCTGTGATGAGTATTCCTTGTGTTCCGCCTTGGATAAATAGGGAAACTGAAGTTGACTTAAGTTTACTGGAAGAAGGTAGACAAATTGAAAGGAAGAGGTGGAAGGTTATATAAGGAGGGAATATGGTGAACACTTACAAATATACACAGATGCGTCTAAAATGTTAAGTGATAGAATAGGAGTAACATTTATAATTCCTGATTTAAACATTATGGAAAATAAAAGAATAACGGATAGACTGAATGTATGTACGGGTGAGTTAATGGCTATTTTAATGGCATTAAAGTGGAGTGAGGAATTGAGAAGTAAGAAAGTTTTGATTTGCTCGGACTCGAGTAGTGCGCTGATAAGCATTATGGAGCAAGCATCAGATGCAAGACAGGACATATTGATGGACATAAATAATTCAATGTATAAAATTAAAAAAAACAGATCCAGTATCAAATTTATTTGGATTCCTGCTCATATCGGTATAATAGGAAATGAGTTGGCAGATAAATTTGCTAAGAGTGCGACTAAAAGGGATGATGTTGAACTTAAAACCAAGTTTAGCAAAAGTGAGGTCAGAAATATAAGTAAAGTGTACAATAAGGAAAAATGGCAGGAACAGTGGGAGAATGAAAGGAAGGCAAGATTTTATTATACAAAAAAAAAGTTGGGGAATGTAGAAAAGAGAATAGGTGTAAAAAAGAGGAGGATATCATATCCAGATTAAGATTTGGACATACGGGGTTAAATAGCACCTTGAAAATAATCAACAAGCACAGTACAGGGTTGTGTAGTTTTTGTGGGAATTTAGAAACGATTCAACATATTTTTTTGGAATGTACTAAATATAACCAGGAAAGAGGGATATTAGTTAGAGAGTTAAGTAAGAATAAAGTCAAATTAGATATTAGGGACTTATTACAGAAATCGTCCGGGGACGTAGTTTTTAACTATGTATTTAGATTTCTTAGAAGCACAGGTATTATGGAGAGGCTATAGAGGGTATACATCTGGTCCATACTCCAGTCCAGAAGGTGGCGGTAATGCACCTAAAAGTTGTTTGCCAACCGCCATTAAACAAGAAGAAGAAGAAGAAGAAGAAGAAGAAGAAGAAGAAGAAGAAGAAGAAGAAGAAGAAGAAGAAGAAGATAGCTACAGAAGTCGGCCACAGGAGACGGTCAGAGAAACAGCCGGAGTGAACGGCCAGAGGTGGTGGCTACGGGAGATAGCTACGTGAGACGGCTGCAGATGGAGTGGCAGATGGATCGGGCTGGCTACAGATGTTGGTTGTAGGAGGATGGAGGTGGACTGGGGGTTTGGAGATGAAGGCCTGGCCCAAGGAGTACTACTGTATCTGGATGCTGCAGAGGAGCGGGTGGCCAACTGTAAGAGTGGGGACTGCTAGGTCACCACTAAAGGGTTCGCTGGGAACCGGAGGATCGGTCGGACCAAGCCGGACGTGTGGAAACAGTAGAGGACCACGTCCCCCACATCCCCCGTTTTGGGCCAGTTAAGACTCTGTGTTGTGTATTGATCATTCCTCAGTAATGTCTCCTTTTTAACTAGTTGTCTTTTAAATAAATTATTGTATCTTTTTATCAGCTTGATTGAGTCTATGTGCACAATCCTTGCAGGTTATTTGTATAAGAAAGAGATTAAGCCTCTCAGGCATTACACAGGGACTAATGAGATGCAAGACATTATTGGGTAAAACAAACAAATATGGCAGGACAGAGGAAAAGCATTGGGAGTAATATCTGGAGTATCAACTGATTTGACGGAAGAAGAGATTAAAGGTCATGTGAAAGGAGCTCGGGTGATTAAAGTGAAGCGCTTGTTTGTTACAAGGCTAGGAGTCAAAAGTCCTAGCAAGTCAGTTATGTTATTCATAGATGTGGATAAATTGTAATGATTGGGTATGTCAGTTACACAATAAGGCAATACATCCCTCCACCAACCAGGTGATATAAATGTCAAAGGTTTGGACATACTGCTGCAGCTTGCAGAGCTAAAACCAGGTGTGCCAAGTGTGGAGGTGAGCATGAGTATGGGAAATGTTCTGAAGGAACTAAGTTAAAGTGTTGGAATTGTGGCGGGAACATAGTGCTGCATTTAAAGCATGTGGAGCTTATAAAAGAGCAGTGCAGATACAAAATGTATGAGTAAAGAAAAACGTTACCTATGCAGATGCAGTTAAAAAGGTAAGTGATTTAAATGTTAATGCTAAAAGCATTTCTGTGCCCCAAACTCAAACAACAGAGCAAATGCAAAGCCAGAGAATCCTAGGAAGTACAATGATTGTTGAGAAGAGGAAGTTTGTTGCATTTATTGTGGAAGTAATAAATTGTTCAGCACAGACAGATAGTAGAACAGAGTGAATTAAAATAACAATTAAAGCAGCAGAAAAATACTTTGAGATGGAAAACTTGTCTTTGGAGTCAATCAGTGGAGTTTTAAAAATGGGGATAAATGAAAGTCAACAATCCAGAAATGATTTGATGGTTTTATCCATAATACAGTGGAATGCTAGAAGCTTAATTGCTAATGGCCAAGATTTTAAATATTTTATTGAAAGACAGAATGTTAAACCAAATATAGTCTGTATTCAAGAAACCTGGTTAAAAGCTTCACTTGATTTTATTCTTAATGGATATGTAGCATTATGTAAAGATTGCTATATTTGTTCAGCAGGGTATTAGTTATAAAGTTTTGAACATAAATGAAGAAATAGAAGTTATAGGGGTTGAAGTATGGATTAGTAAATCAAAGTTTAATATAATTAATTTTTATAACCCTTGTAGTAAGATAAGTAGAGAAAGACTTGATAGTGTTTATGTGAAGGAAGATGAAAGAAATATTTTATGTGGAGATTTTAATGCTCATAATACATTATGGGGAAGTAAAAGAACTGATGAAAATGGGAACGTAATTGAGGAATTTATGGATGATTATAAGCTAATTTGTCTAAATGATGGAAGAGATACTAGATTTGATGTAGGACATGGAGCAGAATCTGCAATTGATCTTACTATAATATCAGATCAGATAGCAGGAATTAGCCAATGGGAAGTAATTAATGAAAACAACCTTGGAAGTGATCATTATCCTATTCTGCTTAAGTTGCATAGTTTTAAGGTAGTAACTGAAGGAAATAGGTATCCTAAATGGAGAATGAGAGAGGCTAATTGGGCAATAAGATGGCAAATGATAAACTTATTGAGATTATGTCAAATTTAAGCAATAATATTGAAGAATTAAATAGTTATAAATATAATATGTGAATCTGCAGAAAAGACCATTGGCAAATCTACTGGATTAAAGGAAAATAAAATGGTTCCTTGGTGGATCAATGAATGTAAAGAAGCTATAAAAGTTAGGAATAAAGCATTTAGAATGTTAAAATTAAATCATTCATCTAATAATTTAGTAATATACAAAAAAGCACAGTCTAAAGTTAAGAGAATAGTTAAATTATCTAAAAAGAATTATTGGAGGGTTTTTGAAGTACAACTGGAACAGAAGTTAAAGAAAACAAGATCTGGGGAATAATTAGAAAGATGGGAGGAATCAGAAGGGATTTTTCTTTAGCTATAATTAAAGATAATCAGTGTGAAGCTATCACAAACAAGGAAAAAGCAGAGATGTTTGCTAGATCCTTTGTGGAGCTGCATAGTTTAAAAAATTGATCAAAGGAAAAATTATTATGGAGATTGGAAATGATTGAAGATAATAGAGAGATTTTAGGTGTTTTAGGTAAAGATTTAACATTGTTTGAAACAAATAGAGCTTTGATTGGAGTTAAGAATTCATCCCCAGGTAAAGATGGCATATGCTATATGATGATTGAGCAGTTATCGGATGCTGCTAAAGGAGAAGTTGTAAAGTTATACAATAAAGTACGGGAACAAGGTGAATTGCCCTCTAGTTGGAAACATTCAGTCGTTGTACCAATAGTAAAGCCAGGTGAGAATGAAGTTGCGGTAAAAAGTAATAGGCCTATAGCTCTTACATCTAATTTATGTAAATTGATGGAGAGAATTATAACTAAGAGATTAATGTATGAATTAGAAAAAAGGTTTTCTATCTCCTTATGAGAGTGATTTCAGGAAGGACAACTATAGATCCAATTGTTTGTTTAGAAAATGAGATAAGAAAGGTTCAGATAAATAAATAAATTCCCCTGTCTACATTTTTTGATATTGAAAATGTCATGTTGGATTTGAGTTTCTTTACCCACATGCAGGTTCAGACATTAGACTGGAAGATTTTTGATTCAAAGATTTATTCACAGTTATTATTGAATGTATTGAGCCTAAGTTGTCCTCTGGGATCGGGAGTGGCTGGGCGGCTCAGGTACTGCTTGGAGAGGGGAGAGGTTAGTAGGAGCTGGAGTGAGAGGATCTTGACAGGGAAATGGAGGGAAAGGCTTACAGTTCATTTGATGTAGTATTGCCGTGGAGGAGGTAGGATTCGTTAGTGCAAAAGGCTCCGAGAAGGTTGCGGGGCTCGGGCGGCAGACGAGAGCGTTCAGTCCGGTTGGCAATCAGTGTTTGCGTTCGGGTGGGCGTGGTTCCTAGCTGGGTCCAGACAGTACATCCAAAATCTGAGAAAAAAACACAAAGATTGACTTAATCCTTGGTCAACATGAAGCTTGGCAAAACGTTGGGATTGACTCTGACCAACAAGTGGGACCATCGAGCGATGAATGGCTGCTCCACCGCTTCTTAAGAATCCTGCAGCCGATTTCAGAAATCCGCTTCAGGTGCGTCAGCCTGCCAGAACGCTCCCACGAAGATTGTCTATTCGGAGGAGCACTTACACCAACTTGAATCCTAACAGAAAAAGCGCACGACATGCTTTGGAAGGAGGGTTTATTAATTAAGATGGATAAAATGGGAATAAAAGGAAAAATGTTTAATTGGATTAAAGATTTTTTAAAGAATAGAACAATAGAAATAAGAGTTGGAGTAAATGATTCAAATATATATGCTATACAAAATGGAACTCCGCAAGGCATTGCTTTTTAATATAATGATTCATGATATTTTTGATCATACATATTTTAGAATTAGTAAAGCTTTATATGCAGATGATGGAGCAGTATGGGTCAGAGGAGGCAATATTAGTATTTTAAAAAATAGAATGCAATCAGCAATTAATAGGTTTGAAAGATGGTCACATGAATGGGGGTTTCATTTGTCTGTTAAGAAAACACAAATAATAAGTTTTTCAAAGAAAAGAGTTAATCCTACAGTAGATCTTAGATTATATTAGCAAAAGTTAAAGCAGGTAAATATTGTAAGGTACCTTGGCATATGGTTTGATGTAAAACTTTCATTTAAGATGCATGTACAGATGATTATTGATAAATGTAAAAAAGGCATTAATATTTTGAGATGTTTGTCAGGGAGTGATTGGGGAGCATCAAGCACATCTTTGAAAATAATATATGATGTTTTAATTTGTTCTGTGTTGGATTATGGATGTATTGTTTATAAGTCAGCTGCAAATTCTTGATTAGATTTAGATCAAATCCAAGCTAAAGCCTCAGGATCTGTTGTGGGGCTTTTAGAACGTCTCCAATTCCTGCTCTCCAGGTCATTACCGGATAAATGCCATTAGACTGAAGGCGAATGCAACTGTCAGCAAATTATTGGTTAAATTTACAATGGCATGAAGAAAATCACCCTACTAAACAAGTATTCAGAGAATGTTGGGAGTTTGGCCATAATATAAGGTGTTTTGGATGGGAAGGAAATATTTATGCAGATCAGTTGGGGACAAACAATATAGCAAGTTGTAAATCTGTAATTAAATCTAAAATTGCCCCATGGTAATTTGAAAAGGCCAATAGTACATTTAGAAACCAAAAAAATAGAATAGACATGTGGAGGTTTATATCTAATTATTCAGCATTATTTAGAAATAATGTATGGAAATATGATACAGATATATATATACAGATGCATCAAAAGAGGAAAATGGTAAAACAGGAATAGCAGTTTATGTTCCGAAACAAAAAGTTATCATAAAAAGAAGAACAACAGATAATCCATCAATGTTTTCAGCAGAAATGTTGGCAGTTATTTTGGCATTGCAGTGGCTGCTGGAGGTGAAGCCTAGTAAGGCAGATATATGTTCAGATTCAATGTCTTGTTTAATCAGTATTATATGTGGAAAATCTGATAGCCGTCAAGATCTTCTGGATGAAGTTACTTATTTGATATGTGCTATAAAGCAACAACAAATAAGTATTTAATTCACATGGGTTCCAGCACATAAAATAATTGCAGGTCATGAAAAAGTAGATAAATTGGCTAAACAAGCAGTTAAGGAGATAGAAATTGAATATAAAGTCCCACTAAGTAGAACAGAAATTAAAGTAATTATTAACGATAAAATAAATAACATGTGGCAGGAGAGATGGAATTTAGAAGAAAGAGGAAGGAATTACATAAAATACAGAAGGAGGTCATCCTGAATAACAATAATGAATAGGAGAGTTAAAAGTATGGATTAACAGGTTGAGGATTGGGCATACTAGTTTAAAATTAATAGGGAATCATCCATCAGGTGATTGTTCCTATTGCGGGGAAACAGAAGGTGTAGAAAATGTTGATTTATTGTAGGAAATATATAAAAGAGAGGAAAGAATTGGAAAGGGTGATGGGGAGATCAGTAAATATGGATAATTCAAGCACTTATTAAATATGTAAAAGATACACAATTAGCAGAGAGGATTTAGTTGGTATGTTTGTGTGAGTGTATAAGTATGTATATAATTTAGTTATTTTAAGTTTTAAAGCTAAATAAATAAAATGAATTTATGGATTACATCTCCGTCCAGTTGATGGCGGTAATGCACAAAGTTTGTAAACTACCAGAAAACGCTATAGAAGAAGAACAAGAAAAAGAGGAAGACGAAGGAGGAGGACGAAGAAGAAGAAGCAGAAGAAAAAGAAGGTAAAGCATGCTGGGTTGTAGCGGTCAACACGAACTTTTATTGACGTACAAAGCAGAGATAGTGAGAGCTGCCATAAGTACAACAATAGTGACGTAATTAAAAATGAACACTTTATATTATTATTCAGTTGAGACTCCGAGATTGGCGCCAGGGTTTTACTAACTGCAATAGACAAAAGCTAACGGTGAATGAATTCTTATGGTTGCCTAGATCAGACTGATTCTGAATAGTCGTCTTCGCTGAAGTATTCATTTGATTAGATTTGTCACTGCACAGCGGTTTTAGCAGTGCAACTGTTTTAATTGAGAAGCTCTACTGAAAACTTAAGTTTTCAGTAAAAAGTAAAGCAGGAAGAGAACAAATGTTAAGCCGAGAATTGCATGCCTTTTCTCGGGCAGCGCTGTGCATTCTCGCATATTGATGAGAGAACGGACTGAAATATGACCGAAGAGGAAACTTTTAAAGGTCTTTGTAACATTATCACATTTCTTAACCATATAGGCCTTAAAACGGTAGGTTTTATTAAGCAGATTAATTGAAATAAATGCGGTTTTTAAACCCTTCTTGAGACATATGAGTCTAACGTTTTTCAGTGTCTGATGAAATGTTCACCGAAGCTGATTTGAAATTCCCCGATTTTTCTTTCAACACCATGACAGCTTAAAACATTACAAAACAGAGGCCCATTATGTAGAACATTTTATATCACGCTTAACTGTCTAGTGTATTAATGTTGGGGAGATGCATTTTAATTTCTGAGCCTACCAATATTTGCATCCCCTGTCTATTGTCCTGCTGATATGAAACTTATAGCAGTAGCTTAGAGAACAGGTGTCATTACGTAGAAAAGGTGAAATCCCTCTTAACTCTTTATTTATTTAAGTCAGCAGGGGGTGCATTTTTTGGCATAGCAAATTATTACCTATATGCAAGCCCTATATTTTGCCCAAATATTATTCTATGGATATAGTACTTATACCAGCAGTTCATAGAATAAGTGTGATTTATATAGAAAAAGTTATTTCACTCTTAACTCTTTATTTCTCTATATTAGCAGGGGAATGCATTTTATGGCAAAGCATATTATTAGCCTGCTGATATTTGCATGCCCTGTTTTTATTTGATCTTGTGAATTCATTATATCACAACAAAGGGTAAGACCACCATCATTGTGTCAAGAAACCGCCAGCTGACACAGCTTGATGAATGTGAACTACTTAAGAGTTAGATTTGAGTAAAGTGGGGTTTTTTTATGAATATTTCTTACTGTGTTTTGAAATAATAAATGCATAAAATCAAATAGTCCACTGACAAGTGAGGAAGGTCACCAGTGGCCTTCCTCACTGGGCATGCATTTTCTGGCCAGAAAATGCATGCCCTGCAATTTGAAGATTTTGGATAGTAATGTGTTATATGAAATGTTCTAGACAATGACACATGTCCTCTGAGATACTAGAGTGACTTTCATATCTGTATGACACTTTGAGCTAAAAAAAACAGTGAAGTGGTTTAGGTCGTTCACCCTAAATCTCCTACAGTTTAGAGATTTGGTTTGTAACCCTGTCTTCAGGGTTTGGAAGAGCTCCAGCAGGCACTTCCAAACCTTGCAAATGTTTATTTTCCATCTTTTTTCTGTAGAATTTTTTTCATTCCTGATCTTTCCTCGTGGGCTTTGTTCCCTAAGCAAGGCTTGATGGTCAGTTATAATTTCTTTGATAAAATCTGATATTTTTTGCATGGTCATTCATACTACTGATTGATGCAAATGCAAACAGACTTCAGTATAAAAATTTCAAGAAACATGTGCAAGGCATTATAGACATCACACAAATGCACACTGTTTATGGGTGTAATAATGCATGAATACATTTTAAAGATATTGAGGTATCAACCCTCAATAGTAATTATGCTAATAAAAAAAAGCAAAACTACATCACATTGATTTTCTGGAGATTTGACATTTACCCTCTGTTGTAATGTGTCCTCCATTTTCACTCCATCTGGAGAGAGCAACCGAACTTAGTTGCCGTTTGCAAGAGGGCTATCAGCCTCTCATCATCTACTAAATCATCTCTCCTTGTGTTTTCTTTTAGGATGAGTTTCTCAATACTTGACTCTCCATCTCCCAACACCATCCCTTCCCCATTCCCTTCTCACTCCTGTGTGACGCACTGCCCTGAACTCGACCTGTCGATCAGATTGGCCCAGGCCCCAAACCCTGACCACATGCAACAGAAGACCTGTCAGCTAAAGAAGAGTCAACACAGTGACCAACTCCAACAAAGGCCCCACCCACGAAGGCAGACTGAAAGGAAAAGGAACATAAAGGTAGTACTGAATGCACCTTCATTTTGAGATGGCTCTCTAAGAAATAATTATAATACTGCCAAGTGCAGACAGTTTGGACTTTCAAAATTCCCATCCATCCCCAGATAGTATGTATCTAGACTCACAGAAGGCATGCTTTGGTCAAATCTGTAAAAAGAACCATACACATAAAACTTTTCCAGTTTTTGGTACATTTCAAACACAAACTTAATTAAAGCTGCTAGTAGCGTTGGAGGCCTTGCAGATCCATTGTTATGGCGATCACGGGAGCTCCAGCAACACCACCAGCTCGCCACCGTCAACACTTTTGCGCAGTTCCCGCAGCTGTTCTCCAGGTGATGTGTTGAGCAGCGCTCCCTGATAATGCACATAAAATCTGGTGCAGATCGGCCTATGTAGTAAAAAGATACAACTGTTGGAATAACTTACAGTTGTAGGCAGAATGTAGTCAAATTACAATTTAATGCTCTTGGGATCTTAACAAAGGTAAAGCCTATCAAGTTTGGTGCAAGTCATATGATGCATGTATGATTTAGCGAGAACTGTATGCACACGGTGAAGGATTAGAATTCGCCACTTAGCCACGCCCACATGCTCCAGCCAACCGACAATGTTGAGAGAAGGACTTACTATCATGTTGTTGTATTTCATCGAACACAGGTTTACATCTGCATGAACCATAGGTCAGATCACCGGGCTTACTGAGTTTTCTGGGGGAAACCCTGGATTCAGCATCATGTTCCATTTCATCAGACTCATTAACCTCTTGGACTTTTATCGACTTGGGTCATCCGATCCCACTGAGGTAAAGTGAGGTAGAGCAGCGAGGCAACGTGCAGAGGTGCCAGCGGTATGATTAGTCTGTGCATTGCCAGCTTTAAATGCATAAACTATAAACCTATCTATTACAAACATGTCCTTTAGGAATAAATCTGTTCTGCTAGTGAAATGCTCACACCAAAAGAGACACTTGCAATCCAGCTTAAAAATCAGAACAACAAAAGAATTAAGCAATTTTTAAAATGAAAAACAAAAAATGTAAATTTATTTTTAACTATTATTTTTTTAAAAACATAAACAATCAATGCTTAGCTTGATGGGGGTCTAGTACTGCATTGCGGGCCACCAGGCATATAATACACTGGCGCCAACCCTAAAGTTGTGAGGACAGCTAGGGAAATCATCTCTACTGCATCATTTGTAAACAGTACAAACAGTATCATAAAATAATCCACCCATCCATGTTTGTTTTAAACTAAGAGTTGTTTTTAAAAAAAAAAAAATTATGTACAGCACTTTGTATCAGCTGTGATTGTTTTAAAATGCTTTATAAATAAAATTGGTATGGTATCAATCGTCTGCCGCTTATCTGGGGTCGGGTTGTGGGGGTAGCAGCTTCAGAAGGGAGGCCCAGACTTCCCTCTCCCCAGCCACTTCTTCCAGCTCCTCCGTGGGAACCCTGAGGCGTTCCCTTGCCAGCTGGGAGACATAATTCCTCCAGTGTGTCCTGGGTCTTTCCCTCCTCCCGGTGGGACGTGCGCAAAACACCTCACCAGGGAGGCGTCCAGGAGGCATCCTGACCAGATGCCCGAGCCACCTCAACTGGGTCCTCTTGATGTGGAGGAGCAGCGGCTCTACTCTGAGTCCCTTCGGAATGACCGAGCTTCTCACCCTATCTCTAAGGAAGAGCCCAGCCACCCCACGGAGGAAACCCATTTCGGCCGCATGTGTCCGAGATCTTGTTCTTTTGGTCATGACCCAAAACTCATGGCCATAGATGAGGGTAGGAACGTAGATCGACCGGTAACTCAAGAGCTTCGCTTTTTGACTCAGCTTTCTCTTCACCACGACGGACCGGTACAGGGCCCGCTTCACGGCGGACGCTGCGCCAATCTGCCTGTCAATCTCCCGCTCCCTTCTTCCCTCATTCGTGAACAAGATCCCGAGATACTTGAACTCCTCCACTGTATGGGGCAGGACATCCCCCTCGACCCGGAGAAGGCACTCTACCCTTTTCCCGCTCAAGATCATAGTCTTGGACTTGGAGGAACTGGTCCTCATCCCGGCCGCTTCACACTCGGCTGCGAACCGCTCCAGCGAGAGCTGCAGATTACGTCCCAATGAAGCCAATAAGACCACATCATCCGCAAAAAGCAGAGATGCAATCCTAAGGCCACCAAAACGGATCCCCTCAACACCTTGGCTACGCCTAGAAATTCTGTCCATAAAAGTAATGAACAGAATCGGTGACAAAGGGCAGCCCTGTCGGAGTCCAACCCTCACTCGACTCTCCAAGACCCCCGAATAGACCTTGCCAGGGAGGCTTAAGAGTGCGATCCCTCTATAATTGGAGCACATCCTCCGGTCCCCCTTTTTAAACAGGGGGACCAACACCCCAGTTTGCTAATCCAGGGGTACTACTCCCGATGTCCATGCGATATTACAGAGTCGCGCCAACCAACACAACCCTACAACATCCAGTTGCTTCCAGAGTCCCACAGGCCAAAAAGGCCCGATAGGACTCCGGGCAAATCTCATCCACCCTCGGGGCACTGCCACCGAGGAGCTTTTTAACCACCTCGTCGACCTCATCCCCAGAGATTGGAGAACCCAACCCAGAGTCCCCAGGCTCAGCTTCCTCAATGGAAGGCATGTTGGTCGGATTGAGGAGGTCTTCCGGCCCACAACTTCCCGAGTCGAGGTCAGCAGCACACCATCCCCACTGTAAACAGTGTTGGTGCAACACTGCTTCCCCCTCCTGAGACACCGGATGGTGGACCAGAATCGCCTCGAATCCTTGCGGAAGTCTTTCTCCATGGCCTCTCCGAATTCCTCCCAGACTCGAGTTTTTGCCTCAGCAACCACCCGAGCCACTTCGCCTGCCTGTACCCATCAGTTGCTTCCAGAGTCCCACAGGCCAAAAAGGCCCAATAGGACTCCTTCTTTAGCCTTACAGCATCCCTCACCAAAGGTGTCCACCAGCGAGTTCGAGGTTTGCCTCCAACCCGTGGTCGCAAGCTGTGGAGCTTGCGACCACAGCTCCGATATGCCGCCTCGACAATGGAGGCATGGAGCATGGTCCACTCTGACTCAATGTCCCCTTCCTCCCCCAGGATGTGTTTGAAGCTCTGCCGGAGATGGGAGTTAAAGCTCCGTCTCACAGGGGACTCCGCCAGACGTTCCCAGTAGACCCTCACAACTCGTTTGGGCCTGCCAGGCTGACCATCATCCTCCCCCACCACCGGAGCCAACTCATCACCAGCTCTGAGAGGTGTGGAGTGGACAACTGTACACCTCTCTTCACCTGAGTGTCCAAGACATACTGCTCCAGATCCGATGAAACGATGACAAAGTCGATCATCGAACTGTGGCCTAGGGTGTCCTGGTGCCAAGTGCACATATGGACACCCTTATGCCTGAACATGGTGTTCGTTATGGACAATCCTTGACGAGCACAGAAGTCCAACAACAGAGCACCACTCGAGTTCAGATTGGGGGAGCGTTCCTCCCAACCACGCCCCTCCAGGTCTCACTGTCATTCTCCACATGAGCGTTGAAGTCCCCCAGAACAACGAGACCTCTCTAAGGTCTCCAAAAAGGGTGGGTAGACTGAACTGTGGTTCGGCCCGTAAGCACAAACGACAGTCAGAAACCGTCCGTAGGCGGAGGGAGGCTACCCTCTCATTCTCCAGGGTAAACCCCAGCGTACAGGTGCCGAGATGGGGAGCAACAAGTATGCCCACCTCTGCCTGACTCCTCTCATCGTGGGCAACTCCAGAGTGGAAGTACATCCAGCCCCTCTCAAGGAGACTGGTTCCAGAACCAGAGGCATGCTTCGAGGCAAGACTGACTATTTCTAGCCGGAACCTCTCAGCCTCACACACCAGCTCTGGCTCCTTTCCCACAAGAGAGGTGACTTTCCACATCCCAAGAGCCAGCTTTGCAACCAAGGATTGGACCACCAGGACCCCCTCCCTCGGCCACCACCCATCACACACTGCACCCAACCCCTTTGGCCCCTCTCATCGGTGGTGGGCCCATGGGAGGGAGGACCTATGTCTCCTCTTCAGGCTGGGCCCAGCCGGGCTCCATGGATAAAAGCCCGGCCACCAGGCGCTCGCCAACGTGCCCCACCTCCAGGCCTGGCTCCTGGGTGGGGCCCCGGTGACCCGCGTCTGGGCGAGGGAACACAAGATCTAAAGTTGCCATTCATCATTAGGGTCTGCAGGCGGCTGCACTTTGTCTGGTCCCTCACCTAGGACCTGTCTGCCTTGGGTGACCCTACCAGGGGCATGAAACCCCAGACAGCATAGTTCTTAGGATCATTGGGACGCTCAAACCCCTCCACCACAGTAAGGTGGGAGCCCGAGGAGGAGTGAAAGTCTGCAGAATAATTCAGGCTCGGCCAGTTACTAAAGATACCTTCCAGCCTCACCATGGCTTGTTCTCCCTGCTGCCCTCTGAGAAAAGGTTGAGCAACTTGTATTCTACAGCAGCTTCATCTACTAAGTTCCATTAATCCTTTTATTGTATATATTTATATTGATACTTTTTTCTCTTAATTATTTTATTATTGGAGCCTTGCGACTACATTTTTCTCAATATGTACCTTTTTAAATGTGAAGTTGAATGACAGAGTTTTGAGTGTCTGTGTGTGTATGCTTATGAGCGTCTCTGCATGGCCTAGTGCCGCATGGCAGCACTGTAATCCTAATTTGTTGTATGTTTTTCATGTATGCGTGTATATTTCTGTACAGGTGTGTTTTGAAGAGCCAGAGGCTGTTAGAGTAGCACCAGATCGATGCATTGTTCCTCATCAGCACCATCTTAGAGGACAGAGAGGGAGCTCAAAATATCGCCATGGTAACTAGTAATAAGTTCTACATAATTTTGTATAAGTTATAAGTTTAAACAGCTTTACTATATCTATGCCACATAACTTGTGAAAAAAGCAGGTTTTACAGTTCTTCGTCAAATAGTGTTTGAGTTTTAAATATTATTCACTGTTTAAAATAGTCATTATAAATCAATCAATAAATATATAACGTTGCATTCAAAAGGTAATTATTTTTAGCAACAATTGCTTAATTAATTCACATTAAAGCAGCATAATATTTTTGTGATTGGAGCTTTATTAATATAAGTATTAGATATTAGATTAGAAATGTCAGACTCCTCTCCCAGCCACACAATCACTAATCTATGTTTTTCTGTGGTCAGTTGGAAGATGTTCTATGGAGCCTCCTGCTGCAGGACTTGACTGGACCCCAGGTTGTCTTGGCAATGCAGAGCTGAATTCCACTCTGCCCCTGAAGGTGGAGCTTCTGTCACTTCAGGTTCAGGCTCTTCTCCATATTCATCCATGTTTTCACAAAGATGATCTGTTTTATCTGCTTGTGCGTCTGATTTTCTTATTTAAAAAATAAGCTTCAGTGCATTATAAAAGTTCTCAAGTACTTAACGTTTTCCACATTTTTCCACAACCAGAAACTTGAATCAGAATTTTATGTGACATTCCTACACAAAACTACAGAATTATAAAATGGAAGAAAAAAATTACACACTGTTTTCTCATTTGTATCAAGCAACACAGGACTTTTTTTCTGACCATAAATGTTTTACCTGGCCTGGCATAGACTCAGGGGTTTGATTTATTTTTTTTAATTAACAATAAAGATAATGCCCTTCACTGAAATGTCCAGTGGAGAAAAAAAATCCTGAACAAAAACACAAACAAGTTTCAATATGAATGTTGATCAACATTATAGCCATGCATTGATCAATGGCCCAGTCCAAATGCTTGCACTTCCACCCGTGTGTCCTTCAAGGTTTTCAATTCATCACTCCATGTGATGTTTTGAATTAAAAAGCGGGAATATGGCAATGCTTTTTTTGTTGTTGTTGTCCTTATTGAAAATTTTAAAACTATAATAAGGCACACATCAGTAACTAAATTTTTTTTGTGGGTGCTTTTGTATAAGGAGGTGTTGGAGGGTGGGACCTGTGCACTGGTGCGTAATTGGCATCATCACCACTGCCATGGAGAAGAATCCCTTTTGAAACCTGCAATCTATCCATAACTTTAGAACCTCCACTGAAGAGATTTCTGGAACACAATCTAAACTGGCCGAGACCCACTTCTCATCCTACAGATATCTGATTACCTGCTCGCCCTCTTTCGACTATCCCATCTGCACCCCCCAGAGAATCCTCCAACCGTCAGACCCCGGACCAGACACCTCTTTGCCCCGTAAGCTTTCCCGACCTCATGAAGAGCATCCCAGTGGATGCTCCTCACCTCTCCCAGTAAGCTCATTCCTGAACTTTGTTTGATTCAGTTCAACATTCCTCTCACTTCTCCTTTCCCTGCCTTCAGCACGAAAACGATTCTAATCCAGTGGCCCCCCAAGACAAACCACGCCAATTATTTATGTTTGAACAAATAAACTTTATGCACTTGAGTCATTTTCCATCTCCTATTTGTGTTTCTGCATATGGGTCAAGCGTGTAGCTTCTGTTATGACAGAACACTCAAGCCTGACCCAGCAGATATACTTAGTTTCGTTCACTTTGGCTGAACAAAACTCACTCATCCAATCTCATGATGCAGCTTTAAGAATTCTTGGAAACCAGCAGAGTGAAACCAACCAGCGTTCAGATAACCTGCTAACCTTTTACAAAAGGGTTCTTCAACAGGACGCTGCTGCCGCTCCAGTTGCTCCTGATCCAGCTCCAGATCTCATACCCGTAGTCCAACCCGGGTTTTTGAAAATCCGTCCACCCAACCCAGAGAAATACTCAGGTGAAGTTTATCGATGTGGATTTCTGTTACAATGTCCCCTAGATTTCAACCACTCCCCACGGAGTTTTTTTCATGATGGTGCAAAAATCTCCATCATCTCTCACCTGACAGGAAGAGCTCTGGAATGGGCAAAAGCCAGATTTAAAGGTCCAACCAGCTATGGTTGCTCATTTCACAAATTCTTTGTTCAGTTTAAACAAACCTTCAATCAAGATCCTGATAACAGTTCTAGTTCTAGAGGTCTACTGACAATCAAACAAGGTCCTAGATCTGTGGCTGACTTTACTGTTTATTTCAGGATCAACGCAGCCTCCGGTTTGAACGAGCCGGCCCTGAAAAGTATGTTTTTTCACGCACTTAATGAGTCACTAAAAGACAAATTGGCCACCACAGATGAACCAAGTACTTTGAATGACTTAATTTTCCTGGCAATCTGTTTAGAGAATCGTATAAGGGATTGACATAAAGAAAAGATGAGGAAGAATCCCCCAGTGTGGGTTGCTCTCTTCCCTGTTTCCCCTCCTACTCACTCTCCACTTCCTTCTCAGACTTCATCAGAACCAGAACCCCTGCAGATTGGGCGAGCTCGACTGACCCCTGAGGAACGTCAAAAGAGGATCAGTTCCCATTTGTGTTTATACTGCGGATCACCAGGCCATTACATTGCCATTTGTCCAACTTGATCAAAAGCCCAGACCCGTCAGTAGATGTGAGGAGGCTAGCGGGCCAGTTAAAACACAAAGAAAGTTCTCCTCAACTTCTTCTTCCTGCCACTCTGTTTATCAGAAATAAATCTCTCAGTTTATCTGTGCTCATTGATTCCGGTTGCGAGCAAGATCTCTCAGACTCCACCTTGGTTAAACAGATGGCGACTGAAACTATTCCCCTCCCGGTTCCACTTCATGTTTCCGGTTCCACTTCATGATTACCGCAAATAATCCACAAGACCGAATCGCTACGATTGGTCATTGGCAACCACTGCGAACTAATTTCCTTTTTCGTTTTTCCTTCAGCTAATTCTACTGTAGTTCTGGGATTTAGTTGGCTTCAGAAACATAACCCTCATATAAACTGGGTAGATTGACATATTGAATCCTGGTCTCCTGTCACTCTGACTGTCTCCGCTCCTCAGTTCCACCGAGTTCCCCGCCGGCAGTTTCACAAGAGGCAGACCCTCCCAACATGACTGCAGAGTATCCCGATTTAGCACCAGTCTTCAGCAAAACAAAAGTACTGTCATTACTCCCTCATCGACCTTACGATTGAACCATGGACTTCCTCCACAGAGCCCCACTGCCCTCCAGCCATCTCAGTAATATCTTCCGACCTGAACGTGAGGCCATGGAGGCCTTAAAGACATTAAAGCCTCTTTGGTGGCAGGAATCATCCGTCCCTCATCCTCTCCTTTTGGAGCGGGATTTCTTTGTTGGCAAAAAGGATGGCTCATTTAGACCTTGCATTAATTACCGTGGTTTGAACCAGATTACTGTTAAAAATAAATACCCCTTGCCTCTTCTCTCCTACCCAGTTCATGGCGCCACGTTTTTACTAAACTCAACCTGCGTAATGCTCATCACTTTCTCCACATCTGCCCGGGGGGTGAATGGAAAACAGCATTCAAAACTCCCTTAGATCATTTTGAGTATTTAGTTATTCCTTACAGGCTAATCCAATGCCCCAGCATTTTTTCAAGCCCTAGTTAATCATGTTCTCCGAGATTTTCGAAACTTTTTCGTCTTTCTCTATCTCGATGATATACTCATTTTTCCAGAAACCTCACAGAACATAATAGACACGTCCGGATGGTCCTTCAATGCCTTTTAGAAAATAAGCTCTTTGTAAAGGCCAAGAAATGGGAATTCCACCAACAATCTGTGACATTCTTAGAATTCATACTTGAGGGCGGGCAGGTCCGACCAACAACAGAAAAAATAAAAGCGGTTTTGGAGTGGCCGGTGCCGCAGACCTGCAAACAACTACAGAGTGTTTTTGGGCTTTGCTAATTTCTACAGCCGTTTAATTCGTAATTACGGCCAAAGAGCCTTGCCCCTTACCACTCTCACTTCCACTAAGAGACTGTTCAAATGGACTTCCAAAGCTGAGAGGGCTTTTCTCCTCCTTAAGTCTCTGTTTGCTGATGCACCTGTTCTCATACAACCAGACCCTAATAAACTGTTTATCGTGGAGGTGGACGCCTCCGAGACGTGCTTTCACAATTTTCCGACTCTGACTACAAAACTCATCCCTGTGCAGTTTTCTCTCGTAGACTGTCCTGCGGAATGCAACTACGATGTGGGCGATCGTGAGTTGCTGGCCATCAAGCTGGGTCTGGAGGAGTAGCAGCATTGGCTGGAGGGCGCTGAACATCCACTGCTGGTCTGGACGGATCATAAGAACTTGTCTTACCTCCAGTCTGCCAAACAACCCAATCCCTGTCAGACCTGCTCCAGAAATATAAAACCAGAGGCCTTGTCCTGATTGTATTCGTCGGACGACTCAGAAAAACCCCTGACCGCTATCCTTTCTTCTACCTGCACCGTTGCTTTCATGACCAGGGAGATGGAAGACATAATTTGTCAAGCTCAGCAAACTGAACCGGATCCGGATTTTTGTACCGTCTACTGTCCAAGCCCGCCTCATCCTTTGGTTACATACAGCTAAATTCGCTGCACACCCAGGAATTAGTCGTACCACAGCCCTCATAAATTGCCGCTTCTGGTGCCCATCCTTACATACAGATGTGAAAGAATATGTTCTCGCCTGTTCCATCTGTGCCAGAAACAAGCCATCACGTCAGCCACCAGCCGGTCTTCTCCAGCAGTTACCCATACCCAAACGTCCTTGGTCACTCATCTCCATTGATTTTGTTACAGGACTCCCCATTTCCAGAGGTATGACCACCATCTTCACTGTCAGTGATCGTTTTTCTAAATCCTGCCACCTCATCCCTCTCAGAAAACTCCCCACAGCCTCTCAGACTGCGCAACTCCTCATTAAGCATGTTTTTCGACTTCATGGCATACCTCAGGAGATCCTGTCGGACCATGGACCCCAGTTCACGTCTCAAGTTTGGAGACAATTCTGCTCTGCTCTGGGAACGTTATTTTGAACTAGAGACCCCTTGCAACATGATGTCATCCATGAATGTTCCCACCCCCAATTCCCTGCTCGACTTTTCATATATGCAAGTTCCATGTATGAAAGGGATGCAGTGCTTTGCTATGAATTATATACACTATAACGAGATAACAAGGCCAGAAAAAAGTTTTAATAAAAAAAATTAAAAATAACAAGGGAGAAGGCAGCAGGTCAGATTTAATTCACTGTAACCACAAATCAATGGCAGCCCTGAGTTTGTTTATCTGGAACGAGACGGTCCAATCTGGGAGTGATGGGGAAAAATGACTAATAATAATAAAGAATAAAAACAAACAAGATCTCAAGAGTAATTACTAAGAACCAATATATTTTACAGACCAAAACAGTAAAGAGCTTATCACTTATTTATTTTTGATTTGTTTAAATGCTATAGGC